TTTAACTGTCCATTTGGATAGCTTCTCTAGAAGATTTCTTGAATCATCTTACAAATAAAGTGCTGAAGTTTTCCCCCTATGAGCAAGGATAAGGATGAATGAAAATTCAAAGTGGCAAAACTGTCTTATGCACTAGAAATGGCTTCATTTTCCAACATGCCCAGGCAGAGAGCGATGGCCCCTGAAGTGCTGTGCTACCTCATCTGAACCATGAGAGTAGCTGTTAATTAAGGCTCATCCAAAAGGAAAACTAATAATAATAAGAAATGCTAACATATATTTAAATAATTTTTTATGCTTTCAACCTTGTCTGTAGTTAATGAACAAGAAAATCTGGTCTAAGGGCAAGTTAAAACAGGGAGTAATTTGTCTGGGTGACATATTTCTTCAGACTGCATCTCCTTAAACCGATATTACACTGTTGTGTTTGTCACTCACAACGACACGTTCCCACGTAACAGAGTGCTAGGAGAAATCAGAGCAACTCTATCAGTAACCAGAGATTGATACAATATCAGCAGATGATGGTTTTTGTCTGTCCTCCAGGTAGTGGTAAGCAAGCTTAAGTGGTGGGTGGGATTTTCTTACCATACGAGGATAAATAGAGTTGCTGGCTTTTTGATTTTCCCAGCAAAAATAGCATGGACATCAAAATGACCAAAACCTGAGATTCACTCCTACACACCCAGTTTGTGCACTGACATTTCCAGTGTCTCTTCCAGTGTCTGCAGTTTTATAAACCTGATGCTCACACTTCTGAATCAAAACAATGGGTAAGGCAGAACACTGAGAATGAATTATTACTCCAGAACTTTTTTAAAACTGAAAACAAAGTAGTAATTTAACTCTTTCTCCATCTGGATTCTCTGAGAAAAGGACATGAATGATTTTATTATGGATCTCCACAAGTATTTTGTAAATATAGTGTTTTAAGGGTCTTTTTATGGTATTGATTACTATAAAAAGTGATGCCTGCCCATACTCAAAGCCCAAGAGTGCTTAAAAAGACCCAGTGCATCACTACCAGGTATTAATTTTAAAACTTCCAGATCAAGCATGCTGGCTCTCAGAATGCAATCACACCGTCCAGAGCGACCCTAAACGAGATCTGGGAGTAACTCAAATGAACTCCATTTCCCTTTTCACTTCTGAGGAAGAGTCCTGCCTCGAAGCAATGTGGTTCTCCAGATCAGAAGACAAGAGGAACTGGGTAGCTATAAAAAAAAAAAAAAAAACACCAAAAATGTTTCATTCCTCTACCATTTCACCATTAAAAATGACTTCATGGATCACGGTTTGGTTATGAAACAGGAAAAATAAAGATGTACTGAATATGCATGTTTTCATTTTACATGACTAATATTTTAAGGTCTAATGCATCAAACGACCTTTGTTCATGAATACTTAAATGAAGCACAAAATCCAGCTCATTTTAGAAAGTCAGCCTCATTCAGTTATGTGTTCTATGGTCATGTAACAAAAAAAGATCCCCTCTACCTAAAAATACCATGATATTTTTGTTTTCAGGACTTTCAGGAACTCGTGTGTCCTCCTGCATGCCTCTCAGTATGGCAGCCAGTGCTCATCAGCAGGGCAACTACCTCCAAAAGAGAACTTGATTTCCTTCCTACAGGTTAGTGTGACAAATGTGGCATCAAATCCCAGCAGCCAAACAAAGGAACAGGAGTTGAAATTTACCTGCAACATTAAGTGAATAATCATTTTGATAAGCTGATATATATGTTGCATTGAGCCTTCCATGATCTTCATTTTTATCTGGTATAATTAACAATAAATCATTCTGGGGGCTACAGCATCTGTTATTACATAAATAAAACACTAGCAAAAGAGCCTGTCAAGACTGATTTATACGAAGTGCTGCTCTGAAGTTTATTGGATTGCCATAATAAGAAATCACACCACATCAATTTTTTTACATTAATCTTCTGGGTTGCATATGATAATTTCTAAGCAAAACCACAACTTAGTAGAGGGTAAGATTCTCACAATATCAGATAAATCTGATACGTTTTAAAATGCTGGTGAACAGAAAGATAAAAAGGGCACTGCCTTGCCAGGACAAATTACCCATCCAAATGGTTTTAAGTCAGTCAAAAAAGCAGGCTCTCAGAAATAAACCAAAGTCTCTTAAAACATCCCACCTGAGAGAACTATTATTTATAAGGAAATAGTTTTCTAGAAGTATTCAAAGTGAACAACAGAACCATCTTCCCTGGTTTCTAATAACTGCAAGGAACAATATCAATACACAGAGTAAGATTCTGAAGAAAATTCTGAAGAAGATTCTGAATAAAATCAAACACCACGGAAGCCTAAGGATCTTTCAAGAGTCATTAGGGTCAAACCTTGCAGACTGCAATATGTTGGAAGCACAAGAGTCTATGTTCACACAGACTATTCAACAGAACTACACTGTGCCAATACAGGGTTGAGAAATAGCCTAGAGAGGAAGAGAGGATGTGCACCCCAATACCTACAAAAGGGAGCTTCAGCAGAGCACAAGTGAATGAAATCATTACAAAAACACCACAGGGTAAGTCTTACTGCTACACATGACAATGTCACATTGAGGAGAAGGAGAAGTCATGACAGCAGTCAAAAATGTTACACACAAACAAGATTAAGAGGATAAATTAAGAGTTTGTGCAGTGCTTTTATTTCAGAAGTGTGAAATCCTCTCCCATCCAAAAAATGAGCCAACAGTGATTTTTTAAAATAGAGGTGCACTAGGAATACAACCAGAACAGCAACAAAATATTTTGGGACTAATTTAAGTTGCAGAAGCAATAAGTTTACAAGTGCAACTACAGACTACACAGACTCCCAAGTGATTAAAGGAGGTGAAGGAGAGAGTGAAGCTGAATGAATTTTCTGCATTAGTCTTATTATAGATGACAAGGGGAAAGAAATTCCAGTTCCAAAAGCATTTGGATGATTATTTGCCCTAACAGAGATCTCACTCTTTGAAAGAAGTATGTTAGGGAACAACTTAGAAACCCCAATGCTAAGTCATCAGAATCTGATGGCATCCATCCCAAGGGAAAGGAAGGAAATACAATATAGGACAGGTAAGAAACTGGAGTGGATGTGCCATACAGACAACTGCAATTCAGTGTAACACTGAAAACAGTATAAAAGTCTTTAACACAGTCTGCCTCTAGGAAATGAACCAAAGGACTAGGGCTTACACATTCATCTCAGTTCTGAAGCACGCTGTGAAGCACTGAGAAATCACACTTGATTTTGCAGATGTAAAAGTGAGAACAACAAAGCAGCACTGAATTTGGGTACAGAATTTGATCTTGGGATTTCAGCTGGTCACACATGCAAGTGCATAGACTAGATTTAAACAATTCTGCAAAGTAAGAACACAAGTCCTGATGCTGTTTATTTAATAAGTACTACCAGGGCACATGTTACATCTTAATCTTGTTTTGCTCCTGTCTGTTGCAGGAAAATAGACAAAAATTGATGCACTCTATGAAACACAATCAAATAGAAGCAGAAATAAAAGAACAGTGAGAGTGGCTTTGGTAAGCTGATGTTACATAAGGAACATTTTTCATGTTAAGAATACAGGTATTTTAACTTCAGTGCAGCCATCAAAAAAGAAATATCTAATCATGGACTTGACCAGTTACAAACCAGCTCTACAACTTCTACAGATTGAGCTTCTTTTTAACATCCTGAAGTATTTAAAAGCATCATGCAATGAGATGCTTCACTGACACTAAAGAATCAGTTACGTATATTTCACGTGATTAATGTGTCCAAGTCAGTTCCACTCACTGTAATAAAACAACCAAATAACAACATGTTCAGGATACTTCCTCTGAACAAACAGGTAATCTGTTCCCTGTCGCAGGGATTATCATTCAGTTGCTGATGTGTATCACAACCATTTACAAGCTTCTAAGAATTTTATAAATAAATGGTTCAAAACTAAGCAACTGTAAATAATTAAAGCACAGCAAGCAGAGGCAGACATAATATTGTGGTCATTAGGTGACACTTAACATTTAGCCAATTTGCAGAGTAAAAGATTAAGGTTTTTTGTTGGTATCCCAGCTGGTTTCTTTTCACTGAATGAAAACAAAATAGTTGAGCCTTGAGCACTGTTAGCAAAGAAAGTCTGAGCTGCTGTAGTCAGCTACAGTGCTGAACACTGAGGCAGCCTGTGCTTAAAACTACTTATTTTTTAAACTACCTATTGTCATTGCCCCTACAATATATTACAGATTTAGCTAGAAACTCATTCAGCAAAGGCTATGTCTTATTATTTACACAGCTTTCACAAGTGCTTCTGATTAGAATGTAGCCAAAACCATGAAAATAGGACAGAATTCAACTGCTCATACCTCCAAAATACATTTTATGTATAAAAGGTGATATAAAAAGAGGAAAAATGAAAATTGTTTATTGGTAGTCAGCAGATCTATTTGTTTTTTCAGAGTAACATACAACCAGCTACACACAATTTCTTTTATTTTATTTCAGGAAGGAAACAATGAAGACACAAAGGTCAGCTTAAAGTCACTACCAGCACAGGTCTCCAAAAGCTGCAGATAGGACTTTGGGGAAACAAACACCTATAGACTTTGCTATGTTACCAAAAAATATGGAATGACAAACAGGTTTCTTCACCTTGATCTTAAAAAAATCCTTAACCTATCATGATATACTAATGTCAGTGCCCTCCTTGCCCCACCTCCAAACAGTTAATTGCTATGGCTGAAATGAAACTGTGAGCATCTCAACACACATTCACATCCAGACCATTACTCAGTAATGCTTTACTCATACTCATTATGCTAATGCAATAACTGGACATACATCCAAATATAAATGACAACAAAGACTGGATCATGAGTGATCCCAAAATCTATTTTACCTGCTAAATATTTTATGTACTATATGCTCTAAGTAGTCCAGAAATAAATGAAAGGCCTGCTCTCCATGCAGTAGTTCTCCACACTTACTGTATTGAGTGCATTAAGTGTAGTGTCATCGCGGGAAGCTGCAACACAACCATCTTCTGTGGAGCCTCCATCACACATGCCTGCAAAAGCTGCCATGCTCCTTTGGAGTGGGAGGGGAAAAAAGTTTAAATACTTCAGCTGCTGTTTGAAGAACACGTCACGAAATACACAAATAATCCATTTACACATTAAATCACAAATTTCAGGGCCCTGAGATACTGCAGAAACAAGTAAAGCAGGGCTCTCTGAACACTCTGCTATTTGTTATGCAAGCCTGAGTTGCCTCAGCATATGCAATAATTAATTTGAAATTAAAACCCAATCTAAGTGGATTTAATCAATTTAAAAATCTGCACTGCAGTAGTGCCAAAGTCTGATCAGGATTATGGAAGACAACCTCCATACATGAGGACAGAGTCTCACTAGAGACAACAAACCTGTTGTTGCAATGTTAGCTTCATTATGTTAGAAAATTGACTTAAATTGCAGATTCCTTACATCTCTGAATTCTTGCAAACTGCAAGTAATTTACTCATGCTCTGAACTATTATGAGGCCCACCAGTGCATCTGATTAATTTACCAGGCATACCAGAGATTGGTATGAAACTGAAATGCAAACTAGAGCTCATAATAAAACCAGTTAGTCTCTGAAGGGACCCTACGCTATCACGACTGTTCCACTCAGAGCAGTTCCCTCCCCTGTTCCACAGTACACACCCCACACCCTATCATGCCAGCATATACTGTCTGTTTTGCATTTGAAACCCAATATCCAGAGACAATGGAAAGGTTTTTTGTTGGCCCCACATCAAGTCAAAGCATTGCCATCTTCAACTAAACATTCCAGCTTCTCCAGTTGACATCCATGCTAGACTAGAACTGAGTAGAAAGGAGTGACCAGAGCCAACTGTGCAGACATGGCAGCCCACATTTCCACTACAGCACTCTGAAGACATCAGTAGTATCTTGGCTGACTTTACCTTGCTGCCCTAAGGTACATAAGTAAGTCACAGTCATTGACTCCTGGCATCCACACAAGTTCTTCATGCTGTGTCACCGTGTCACCATCTGGGGAAGGAAACGGCTGCAGCTCAGGCAGCTTAGCCTGGAAAAAAGAGTTCACACAGACATAACCGTTGTTAAGGTTTGAAGGATGCTCAAGTGTTATTAATAACAAAGTTTGCAAACTCTCTGGAATATTACAATCTCATAGATGGAAGATATTCAGACAACAGGTGGTGAAGCTACTTGATCCAAGTTTCAGAAGTCTAAGAGAAACAGGGTCACCAGGCCCCAATGTATTCACTTCATCCAGCATTCCTCCTTTTAGGAGGGCAGTTCATTTCCTCACAGTCATTATGCAGGGTTAAAAACACCTCTCAGCCCACCACAGGTACCTCCTGTACCTACACCAATCACAACCATGTTTGCAGGAACAGCCCAGCTTACAAGTAAACCATTCTGTACTCTGTATGTGCAGAACAGAAATCAAACACTGTTGGACAATTTACCCTCAAAGAGACAGTTTTCATTCATCAAAATGCTACTGTTGCTTGGCTAAAACATACTCAAATAACGTAATAATGTGAAAGGAGGTGTGAATGTGGCTACGAGTACCATTTTAAATCAGTAGAACACCCTGCACATTTGACACTAGGTTTAAAAATTAATTCTTCAGTAAAGCATTAAAACGCTGAAGAGAAACAAAGACATTTCCTGAAAGTGAGATAGCTCAGTGAAATGAACTCTGCCACTAAGTAAGTATTACACTGTATCCAGAGACCCAATTAGCATCTTTAGTCATCTCCTGCTATGGGATGAGATAGCTGAGAGCCTCTTCAGAAACAGCTTTTAAGCCCCGTAATTACCTCCTATGCTTACAATGCTAAACATATTTGAGAGGCACATTTATACATAACCAGTAATTACAAGTCACAGGTTCAGATGTCTTTCATGTTCTGCTCTTTAATCTGTACTTTATTTTACTTCTTGCCTGGGAAAATGGATATGTCATTGAACTTCTCTTCTAGAAAAGGCTAAGCAAGCATTATACCAAGATGAGATTTCTATGAGAGCCATGCATTCTAGCAACCAGGGTGCTTTTGTAAATTAATGTTCAGCCTTCTGTACCCTCGGAATATGCTTAATGAGTAGAGCTACTCCTAAGAGCAACTTCCTCTTGAATGCCTCCAGTCATTAATTTGTTAGCCAAAAGTTTTCATAGAAGAACATCTAGTACCGACTCGCCCTCGTTCTGCTATGCAGGTGAATTTGAAGAACAACTGCAATTCTACAAAACATTTCTCTTCACTTGTATCTGTACTTGCTATCACGATACAAGCAGCAGTTTGAGACATCTGTGCAGAAAATAACAAAAAACAACCCCACCAGGCTTCTAGCATCTGTAACACACACAATTTAAGGCAAATGAAGGCAATGGATATCCAGCAGAAGCCACCACTGGATTCCAGTATTCTGCTACATGCACCTTCTCTTCTCAGCGAGGTGGGTGAGGAAGTGTATCCATCCCCAAGTTATTTTTACACTTTCCACAGAATGAATCAGACTACAGAACAGAAAGAGGCAAATATAATCCTCAGTCTGACTTCCTACCATAGCCTACAATCAACCATGCATATGTTTTAAGATTGCAGCTTATACTAATTTAAAGGATGAGAAAACAGCCTCTTCATGGAGACGTTTGTCAGAAACACAGATGCTCAGCAAATGAAAGAACAATGGGAGTTTACAATACTAAGCAAGTAATTTTAACAGTATTCTAAACCTTCTTCCTACTTTCTCTTCCACCCATAAATACACCTGGTAATTATACCTCACAGCACAGGTGACTAATACCTGCCAAAATATTAGATGGCAATTTGAGATTAAAGTTGTTTTGAAGGTATCATTTACAGCACTTTTATTACGACTACTGAAAAGACTACCACAGCTTTAATTGGTAAAGACTCTCTTCCTCCAAATGCAAAATACCCTTAAGAATGTTACCTAGGTTGCATAAATGTTTACTTTCACTTGTTGCCTTAAACAAGGTTTTTAAGAATCTAAATGAATATTCATATTTGGATGTAAAAATCCATCACTTGGACAGTACAAAGCTGTCCTGGTTTGGGGTAGAACAGAACTAATTCTGTTCAGTGATTTTACTTCTCAGCTAAAGCTCTAATTAACAGCCCTTTTTGAAGTTAGCAGCATATTTTGGCAGACAGTGTCTGCTTCCAGCAGTGATAACACTCCATGTTCAGAGTTACCCCAAGGGCTGGTATGCAGACCAAGGTCACTGCTAAGGCTTGTGTAGCACACGGAGGGGGGCAGAAAGCACAAGCCACACCTGCAGGGAGGAGTGGACAAGGTAAGTGACCCTAAATTCACCAATGGGTGTTCCATCCCATATCTGTCACATTCAGTATAAAAGCTGGAGGATCAGGAGGTGAAGCCCTTCTTTCTTCCCCCCCTCCCTGCAGCGGCCGGCATCCGCGGAGGAGTCCATCCAGTCTGCCTTGGATCACTGTGTTCCTGAACCAAGTTCCAGAATCCAGCTCCTGGACTCTTCCCCAGGCTCTGCTCCCCAGCCCGGGGTGAGGGTGACGTATTGGCCCTGGGGGACTCGGGTTCGGTATCGGTTTTCTCTGTATTAGTATATATTCCATTTTACTATTATCATTAGTAGTAGTAGTAATAGTATGTCCATTAAAGCTGGTTTACTTTTCTAGCTGATAGGTCTCTCTCACTTATTTCCTTTCCCTTCCCCTTCAGGGGAGTTGGGGGTTAACAGAGAGCATCTGTTACAGGTCTGGGGGCAGCCCTAGCCCTAAACTGTGACAAAAGCTAATGCACAGGTAAAGGAGATCACCCAGATCCCTGAGACAGATCTGCCCTTATAAACCAGAGTAAGTGTATGTTAATGCTCTTTAAGAACAGATTATTTTCTATGCTTACAAAGGATTGCCCTCAAATTAGAACTAACACACCAGGAACAAACTAACATCTAGAGTCTTAACCTTATTCTGCTTCCCCGTGTTTGAACACATTCAGCATGCTTTCTCAACTTCTATTTTAATAATCCAAGTGACTTACAGCCCTGGTCTTAATTGCTCCTCACAGTCAAACAATACAGCTGAGGTCTCCCTGCCTTTAAAACTGATCTCTACAGCATCAGACAGAGAAAAGAAAGCCTGCATTAAAGCTTCCTTGGAAATACAAATAAAATACTGTAATTATAGCATGACTTCTGTAGGCTATGGACAAAAGGGACATTTCAATAATCACCCTGAATTTCTGTGCCTCCTAGCTAAAAAGAAAACTGCTTTGTATGAAAATTATGCAGGTAAAAAGGGTGAGGACCAGCTAACCTCTTGGATGGCAGGGGGAGTGTGTGTTGGTGGTGTTGGCAGAGAGCAACACAGGAAGAGGGTATTTAGGAAAGCTGAGATCCTCAGCAGCTACCAAAACTGCTCCAACTATAAATACTAATTTAATTTTTAAGACAATTGTTGAATTATTAAAAACACAATGACCCTTATGACTTTTATGCTGAATTACCACAGTTGACCAAACGCATTTAACATAAAAAATAAGAAGAGAACATGTATATATTTATTGGAAGTCTGCACATCTCACCAGAGTTGCTGTACAGGAAAGAAACCTCCCAGGCTTAAAAGTTCCCCTGTTCCTCTGGTTATGTAATGTTGTTCTTGGAAAACTGCTGTCTTTTTACTCACTTCTAATAGAGCTATTTTTTTAAACAGATTCACAAAAAGTACTGTTCTAGGCAACATACTATCAACTTCACTATTTTACTGTGCAAATTAAAATGGAAATATTTGCTTTCAACAGAACTGGAAAAAAACTCACCACATTAGTTTTTTATAGTTTATTAAAAACATAACTTGGTGAAAGCCAGCTGAGAATGCATTCATTAACTCCAAAATGTGCCAAATAATAGCTGTGATTTTTCCTTCATTTCCAGTAGTTACTCACACTCCTTCAACCTTATTTTAGAGTTAATCCACTTCTGCTAATAAAAATCATTAACATATCAACATCTGACATAGAAAAATCTCATTAACTGAGCTAAGGAATTCTGATGAACTCACAATGAATCTAAAAAACTCATTGTACTTGGATGCATACAACTTTAAATGAGTGTCCTCTGAACAGATAAGAGGCAAAAGCATGCCTTGGGGTATTAGAAAATGAACAAAAACCCTTACCTGATGGCTGGGTCCAACTCTGATTTCACCTTGGGTACTGTTTAGCCTCCTAATATTGAAAGAAAAAAAAACAGTAACAAGAAAGAATTACAATTAATGAAATTTCAGATCATACTCTGAGTTTTTTTGGCACTGTGCAATGCAAATGGAAGAAGGAAAGATGCATTACTAAGGAGACAAGAAAGGGTAGACTGAGGTGTATTACAGGCTATGCTGCAAACAGCAAAAACCAACAGGGCAAGTCTGGAACTTTTCAGTGAAGCAGTTGAGGTCAAGAAGAGCATCAGTGTGATCTGTCCTCCCAGTAGCAAGAGAGGATTGAGCAGCTGATACTGGGGACACACCCACATCTTCCCCACTTTTTGATGGTTAGATTTCATGCAACACAGAAGTAGCACTGACTAATCAAGATGCTTTAGAAGCCCCTGCTGTTCTCTACAGCCCTGAGCTGCTCTATGCTCCAGGTAGCCAATTCAAGTGCCTGCTATGTATAGAATCACCTTCCAGCAGCCATCTGACCTTTGCTAGCACTATGTTCCTTTAACTGCTTATTTCAACACTATACCTAGAATAACACACAAACATCTTTGTGGTCATTTTCATTTTGAAAGAGAAAGAACCTTGAATAAAAATATTTTGGGTAATAATCTCAGAAAAACCAGAGGCTTAGTTTTGCCAATTCTGGTAATGCAATTCTTCTTTTTCCAGGCAGAGATCATGTGAAAACATTCAAGTTACTCTGGATCTCACACACAAAAATATGTAGCTCTTGTTTTAGGAAGTTAAAATTATTATTGCTGCTGCTCATTCATTTGCTAAAATTACACCAGACAACACAACACAGAAGCATGGAAAATCTAAACAGCAATAAAAACATGTCTTGTAATATTTGTAGAAGTGGATTTAATTCAGTCCATCCAGAAAGGGCTTCCCTTCTACATAATACTCTTGGCTTTCACATCCTTCCACTATTTTGAAATGGTACTTATATAAATATCTTCAAGTTCCAAACAAACTGTCCTCCACATAATGACAATTACACTCTGAAGGGCTCTGTGCTGCTCACACTAGTTGCAGTTACTGAAACCTCACATTATATGACATAATAAAAACTACTTTTTTTTGTAGAATTACCCTGGCAAGAGAAGTTAAATGCATGCCAGTATAAACCAGAAAAACACATCTGACTTGACAGAATTTCTTTCTAGATTTTCAACAGTCTAAATGAAACTTTATCACTGAAGAGTTTACTTTATCAAATATATTAGAGTATAAGCAACAAGAAGGCACAAGACAAACTGTTTACTGGAAATACTGATTGCTCAAGACCTACAGATGAATCCATGGGGCCTCTCTGCTGTCATCTCACACACCCAGCTCTTGTCGAGGGCTAGATCACTATAGCCTATGAATACACTTGTGCCTGAATATTGGGGTTTGGGATGCCAAAGGCAGGTACAGCCTGAATATCTAAATAACTATGCAATACTCTTGTAAAACTGCATTAAAAAACACAACCAAATCCTTAAGATCAACATTCTTCTTCTCCTATGATTTGTTCTTATTTAATCAGACATGTTTTATTTATATTCTGCCTATAACATTAAAAGGACAACAAAATCCAGAGCTGTTCTAAGACAAATGTTTGAAATTAACACTCCAATAACCACAAGACATCTAAGTGAGTCTCAACACACTGGGGCAAGGAAGAACACACACATAAACATAACAGATCATCACCTTTAATCTGGAAACAGCAAACCTGAATTAATCTTGCAATTTGCTGTTGCAGGAATAATGACATCATTTTACAAGCAAGTTCCCACCCTGCAGGATTCCTTCTTCCCCCTGCCGTGTTCACAGTGATTAGAAGCAATGACTGAGAGTTGCCTTTGAACTTGAAAAATTAAGATCATGACCAAAGTGCTAGCCCTGGGTGACGCTAACAACTGACAGCCCAAACCATTAAATACCATTTCCAGTCAAAGAGGTTACTGGAGGGGGATTCTGATGTGATCATTTGTTTATCTTTACAAACGCTTTCTCCTCAAAGTTTCCCAGTGTGTTGCATGGGTGTATGAAGTTAAACTTCACCTTACTGACCATGCTGAAACGTTATTCATTGGTGCCCAGGTGGGTAAACTACAGCAGTGGATCCAACTGGACCTTTTCCAAGACAACATGACAGGAGAACCTGTCAGACAGGAGGAAACACAGGTTTTGTAACACCCAATCTTATGTTGTGACGTCTACACAATGCTACCATCCTGGTAAGCAGACCCACTGTAAAATAAGTGCCAAAAGTCTCCTGAAAAGAACAAGAACGTGTCAAAATGTTTTCCTCCAATGCATATTTTGCAAGGCACAATCTGACACTTCTCTTGTTTTCAGATTATGTTAAGAAATGACTGAACTCAAAAATTAATTTTTTATTTACAACAAAATTATAAATTAAATACCAGGGTACATTTCTTCAGCTGAAAGGCATCAGATTTTTTCCTTGTGAGGAATGAAGGGGAAAGTGACACCAAAAAATGCTGGTGCTCTTGCTTTATTCTCAGAATTCATTTTAAAGCCACGCACATCTCTACTAGTCTGTGCAGGTCAAACTTGAAACACGTCTGTGCAGTTTCTGCCAGCTACAATACCGCACAAAGATTTTGTACTTTGAAAATTAAGCTGTTTTCTATTTAGACAGAAAAAACACAGCAGTCCAAATAACCTGCAACTCCACATTTCTTCAGTTGCATCATGCTGAATATGATAAATAAAGCATTTGAGATTCAAGACCGATTGCAACGATAAAAGCAAAGTTTTGATTAGGACTTCTGCTCCTAACTATGCATGTGGAGGAAACTCAACGGGGCTATCCAGCCATGGCTGGAATGAAAATGACACATGAAAATGAAGTGCCAAGTGAAATATTTCAGAAAAAACGCAGCAGTCCAAATAACCTGAAACTCCACACTTCAGTTGCATCATGCTGAATATGATAAATAAAGCATTTGAGATTCAAGACTGATTGCAACGATAAAAGCAAAGTTTTGATTAGGACTTCTGCTCCTAACTATGCATGTGGAGGAAACTCAACGGGGCTATCCAGCCATGGCTGGAATGAAAATGACACATGAAAATGAAGTGCCAAGTGAAATATTTCTGTGTGCCTTTTCATCACTCATTTACCATTTCCTGATTATATTCACACCCTAAACGTGCTCCCTCCCCCTGCCCCAAAAGGGGAGAACTGGACTGAATTAAGCTGCTGTGCAGGAAGCTCCCCTGGCCCGTGCTACTTCACTGTTCCTGAAAAGGGCACAAAGCTGATTGCTCTGCAACGGCACACAATCTGTTAAATCATTTTTACTGTTTCCACATCCCCAGGAATGGGTTTGCAAATGGAAAGAAAATTCTTGCTATGGAAACTAAAATGCACTGTAGATTTTTAAGCTAAATTATATTGCTGGAGAGCAATTACAATAATAATGGAATGGCACTCTGTGTTTATTCTATGGGAAAGAAAAAAGAGGACCCGGCACTGTATATGAAATCTGACACAAAAGAAACTGATGTAACAAAGCAGTATCCATAGCAACAACAACTTAATATTTCAGTCCTCTTCAGCTGCAGTGGATTAAATATAATGACAAGATGTTCCCTTTGAGAAGTAACCTGTTGCCATGACAACGTTGTATTCTGCAAAGTAAACAGGGGCTGGTCAGAAAGGAGATGGAAGCCTGCGACTGAATATCAAAAAGGCAAGAAGCTCCTGGAGCAGAGCAAGGCAAAACAAGCACACACTAATCCGAGCAAGGCTTGTTCCCAACAGTTGGGAGAGAAGAGAGAGGATGTTCAGTTCAATAAAGCTTTGTCCTCTCAATTCTAAAGCAACAGGGGAGGTTGGAGGTTCAAGGCCAAAAGCAGCACCACTGAGAGAAGCCAGTTCAGAGATGAGCACGAGAAAGGAACAGGAGACGGCACAGGGTGGTGCAGGGCTTTAATTTATCAGCTTTAGGAAGGAGGAGAGAGAGGAAGGAAGGCTGGCAAAGACAGCTCCTGCACGATTTCCAACACAGAAACAAGCTTAACCCTCTCTGATTATCATCCACCTTCTTGCCTACACTGCACACCAGGCTGATGCCATTTCCACAAAGCTGGCATGACTGGCAGCCTCCGTCCATGAGAACAAGGCAGCACTGCAGCACCAGGAAGGACTGAGGCAAGGCCCCAGAGGAACTGCCCTACGACAGCCAGAGCTGCAGTGAGTGCTCCACATCAGCCTTGAGGGTATCGTGGGCTCAGGACTTGCAACACCAACAGCTATTATGGTATTGCCAGACCCAGACAGGACTCAAGGCTGGAAACCCATGGCTAAACTCACAGAGTTAGGAGGCAACAGCAAAAGGCAGTTGCAGATTTCTGCACAGCACCTCTCTGCACTGTCCTGTCTTTGCCCTATCCTTGATGTGAATCCAAGTTAGTTCTTTACCCAGCACGTTTAGTGAAGATCTTTGCTAGGAAGCCAGGCTTCTGAAAGAAACTACACACACAGTACACAAAAGGGGGACCTGCAAGGTCAGGGATCGCACGTACAAGGTGGAATCTTAGAACCTGTGGCACTGCTTCTTTCATGTTTCCCTTTTTACTACCCAAGTTCAGCAAGAAACATGCTATGCAGTAATTGCACTTTTTTTTATACTGACTGACATGCCTGAGATGGGGTGAGGGAGGTGGTACTACTGCAGTACCACACTCAACCAACCAACTGTGGTGTTCAGCAGTTCCCTTCCCCCAGCAACAGCCATGGCTTTATTTCATTCCTCTGTGGTCACCACACACTCCATGCTCTCCACCACATTCTGCACTTCCACTGGCTTTCTGAAACACCCGCTACAAGCCACCACCAGCTCAGAAAACATCAAAATAAAGCAACCATTAAGTTGAAAAAACCCCAAACAAACCACAAACCAAATCACCACAAACCAAATCACCACAACCCAAACAACACATGTAGGACAGCATTCTGTGTGACCCATTTAAACACTCTTGGCA